AGGAAGGGCACATGGCTAAGTCCAGGCCTACCCAGGTGTGCATCTGGGCGTCCTCACACATAAGCAGGACTTCAGAAGCTTTGAGGGTAGAAGGAAGCTGGTTGTTTGAGGGTCAGCCAGCTTATTAGGACAATTGAAGTCATGTTCACGGCTCGTGCTGGGAGGCTGGCATTTGCTGCATTAATGTCCCAAGGGTCAGGAGAGATTGCAGATTAGAGAGCTTGTCGGGCTCTGCAAGTGGAAAGCAGAAGTTTCTATTGTACCCAAAGAAATAAATTCACTGTGGAATGGAGCAGTGGTTGTTCCCAGAACTGAGCAAATGGTACATCAACAGTCAGAGAGCCTGCGGAGGGGAGTCGACCTCATGCTCTGAGACTGGTGGGATGGAGAAAAGGGTAGAGTGATGGGAAAACATGGAGGTGAGTGATGGAAAGGGAAGATTATTTATTTATTTGACAAATATATAGCACTTACTTTGTGCCAGACACTGTTCCAAGGCTTGACAATTACAAACTCATTTCATCTCTTTAATAACCCTTCTAGGTTACCACTATTATTGAGTCGTTGGGAAAGTCAAGATACATTTTTGCATAGAAAAATGTCATGACTTTTCTGATGACCTATTATCTCCGTTTTACAGATGGAGAGAATGGTAAATTGAAGATGTTTGTTGCTCATAACTTCTTTTTTTTTTTAAATTTGACCAGAGGGAGACAGAGAGAGAGAGAGACAGAAAGTGAGAAAGCAAGCCACCAGGTCTAGGACTTGAACCGTGGTCAGCCATGTGAGAGTGTCTAGCACCTTAACCACCACGCCACCTACTGATCCCATAACTTTTTTTTTTTTGAGAGGTTTTTGCTATAGGGCATGTGCACTCACCAGAGAGACAGAGAGAGACAGAGAGAGAGAAAGTGAGAAATCACCCCCTAGTGGGGATAGCCACACCGCAATCCATTCTCCTCTCAGAATTTTGGGCATGCACACACACACACGCCCAACGTGAGTTTAAGCCACCGGGTTCGGGACTCAAACTGCGGTCAACTACATGGGAGTCCAGCGACATAGCCATTACGCCAACTGCTGGTCCCCATAACTTTAATCTACTGAGAGGGAGGATAATGGGGAATGCAGTGTGAGGAGGACAGTCAGGGATTCGGAATGTAAACAGGCTGCCCAGACTGGCAGTGCAGTTGTAGCAAACTGAGTCGCAGTATTACAAGCTGTGTGGCCGAGCAGTTTCGGATCCCAGGTTTGGAAAGACACTGGTTGTGTGCACGGAAGATCCCGACAAGTTGGAAGGCTGAGGAAAGGAGATTGCAGCATGACAAGACCCTAGCAAGGGCGCTCTCTCTCTCTCATGTGCATACATGCTCTATTATGAATAAAATAAAAATTCTAAATTAAAAAAAAACAGAATATAAAAAAGGGTTAGTGCCTTCAAAGACTATTAGGATCATGTCAAAAGGACTCAGAATACAGCTTGAAGAGACTCTCACTTATGAAAAATAGGGCAATTTGAAACATGAATAATAAAACAACTCCAGTGGATTGAAACACATCAAACACTTAAATCATAATGATACTTAAAACAATTATTCACTGTGGGAAGGTGCTAGGGAAACAGCTCCTTCTTTTGAAGATGGATAAATAAAGGGAAAGAATCTGGCATTTATTGCTCCTTTATGATTCAAACTGTACTACTGAGTGGATGAGGGAAATTTCCTTTCATGGACCTTTCCAGATAAGTAAAGAAGGGGAAAAACACCCTTTTATAACACCTAGCAAGCTGCTGGATCTAGGCAGTGAAACTGACTGCTAACAACAGAAGACTACGATGATCAAACATCATACTCATTCTGAAGGAAGAACACACCGCCATGATGAAAGCAGTCCCACCAAACACCTGCGTGTTACGAGTCCTCCAAGCCTACCTCTAACAGCCAGTTTGCAGGAGATTCAGAGGGTAGTTAAGTTATGCACAGGGCCTTATCTTTAAAAAAACGCTTACTGAAATATTCACAGATAAAAATGGTATAATGTTGGGGCCAGCAGTTAGCGTAATGGCTATGACCCTGTAATAAAATTAAAAAAAAAAAAAAGGGCTAAAATTACTGCTTTGGGGAATTTGATTCTCCCAAGTTCATAGTAGACAAATGAAGGATTACTAGCTAGCAGAGCATGTCTGTGGGGATCGAGAGAAGCCAGGATTTGTGACATCCTCCTGCATCATTCTGTTCCTTAGAGTGAGTGCGGGGGGCCACAGGCGACAGAGGGGACTCTTCTTTCTGTCCAAGCATGGTCTAAGGGCCAGCGCCAGGAGAGTTATATGGCACCAGATAAAAATATGGATTCCCGGGCTGCTCCCTGTCCTGGGGCCTAGGAGTCTGTATTTTAACGAGCTCCCAGGTGAGTCTGACATTCACTTAAATTTGGTAATAATTTCCTGACATGTGGCTAAAGCATCAAGAAGCTGTTGAGTGGGAGGCCAGGGCTTTGGCCAGATGCAGGTACAGGCCTGGGAGCCGGGAGCGTGGGCCACCCTTGCTCCAGGGCTCTTTGTGTTGTTTTTCTCTGTGGCCTCAGTGACTGGAAGGCAGGAGCAAAGGAAATGGCTTAGTGAATAAATGGCATGAGCGAATGACTGAGGAGTGAATGAATGATAAAGCACTGTGAGGCCTGTTCTAGGGACTCATAAGAACTGTCGAGGCAGGACTGAGCCCATACGGAGGCCATATGGAGAGGACAAGGTGGACAGTGTCTTCTGTAGGGGGGCCTGCCTTCTGGTGTTTCCAGTCAGGACAGGAGGAATTACTTCAAAGGGTGCCCAGAAACCTCTTTTGCAGGAATCAGCAAAGGCCTCTCAGACTCCTGGGAGTATAGTTATAGCTTTTCCTGCCTCAGGACCACAGGGACCTTGATTTTGAGAGGTCTGAAGCTCAGCCGGTCCATGGCACCCACTCTTCTTGCTTTGAAGTGAGTAGAAGCCAAGCACCGTAGACCGAAATGTGGTGGTTTAGGCCATTTTAAACCCAACCTGCCACTAAAGAGGCTTTATAAGAGGTGATTTTTGGGAGACACTGGAGTAAATTCCATTCTGGAACCTCCATCTGCCTCCTTTGATCACCAAAGCTGACCTTGCCCACAATGAGGCCCTTCCTCCTTCATTATACTGTGGAGGAAACTATCCCATCCCCGTTTCTGTGCTGAAAGCCTCGGCTAGATTTCCAGACAGAAGAGGAAGTGGTGTGGTCTACCCAGAGCAGCTTGGCACGCAGAGGGAGCTCTGGGATCTATTATCCTCCAGCGAGCAGATTTGATGGGGGGAAGAGAACAAAGCATGGAGCCGGCCAGAAACCACAGACCTGTAATCTTTCCAAATCCTGAAGGCGGCCTGTGTGCATCCCTCTCTGCATGGCTCCCAAATCTCTAATTCTCAGAGAGGCCAGGAGCGTCTGTTTCCCAGATCACAGCCAAAATGGAAGGGGAAGACTCTGTTCTGTTTGGTTTCCATAGATTCGACCCAGAGATTAACTGCCAAGGTCTCGATGACACACACAATATCAATCATAGGCTAAATGTCATAATAAGAGCTGGGCAGGTTGTCAGGAGAGGCCTCCAGGTTCCTGTTACAGCTTCATATTTAAAGATGCGGTCCCAGGAAATCAGATGCCAATTCAAAGGGCTACTTGGCCTATGTGTAACATCAGTCTGGCTCATCCTTTTCAAAGGGTAGCAAATCCAAACTCCTTTATGGAGAGGCCATGCAGATAACATACTAGAAGGAAGTGGGTTGGGTATTAAACAACAAGACACACATACGCCTGACTATCAGCCTTAGGCAAGAGACATTAGGGAATAGTGGGGACTGTGGCACACTAAACAACAAATACTCCCTCTGAAGGGGCAGCAGCTTGCCATTCTACATGGGAATGCAAGCCCAGACATTTTTATGGGAAACCAGATTTTAGTGAGAAATTTACTGATTTTAAATATAGGGTGCTTTAGTAGATGCTATCCTTGCCTTGTCTCATCCCTTAGCTCAAGTCCCCGTAGTGTAAATGAACACTTCTCTTTTACACAAAAGGTTTCCTGCCGCAGGAACCTGTGTTTCCTTGCTTGAGGGCCTTTGCTGATCTTTCTGTTGG